GCAAAGTACAATATCCACACCGGTGCGGTGACTGACTGCCACACATACTCCTCAAAACATTAGATTCATCCGCGCTGGAGCCATGCCGGCGCACAACCCACGCAAGGAAGATAATTCCGCACACAGCTGCAATTGCAGGTTTTCAAACAGAGATGGCGACAAAGAGGCAAAACTTACGGACTGCAGCTTTAAGTACTGCTAAAATCAGATACTCTAAGACTTTTACTCAGTTCGTTTTGTGATAGGTGACTTGTAACTTGTAATTGAGTCATTCAAAGGTATCTGTACTTTTACTCAAATATAGTTTTCAGGTACTCTTTACACCTCTGCCTTACAGAGGAATATGGGTTTGTTGCCATTTCTTAATGATTATAAAGTAATAATACCAACTCATTGGCAACTCAACTAATTGTCTTATGACACCAGTTCTTTTGACAAAAATGACATGGATAGCTCTGATTTTTAAATTGAACAGAGTTATATTTCTGTTTCATCAGGACCAGTTCCCAGAGAGAGGGGAGATTCTAGTCTCAGCCCAGGACTTGAAATTGGTTCTACAAGTTGAACGAAATCAGTAAGTAACCTCTTTAAATGACTAACTCATACATATAACTGAAGATAAATTTATCTGATTACAAGGCACTGACATTTGCAGAACACCCTCACACAATCTTTGAAATGACTCTTATTTTGTTTCTTTCACACTTCTTACTGACTAACTGGAAGATTTCATAATTCCCATCTCAGCAGTCGTGAGCGGACTACTCTGAGTAAATAAAAAGCCATTTTAACATTTGAGCATAAGCGCATACTATTCTAGAGAAACATTCATAATCTTAATATACTGCTGACAGATTTTTATTGCAAACTGTTTTTCAAATTGCTGTGCAGTTAGTTGTTGAATACATATCCATTGAAATATATTAGCAAAAAACTGCATCTAGATCCAGCTAATAAGGTGGAGATTTGGGAGTGGTGCTGAATTTATCTGTGAATGGTAAAACTGTCCAGGAAGTTGTGCTGGAGTTCAGACAGTTGAATAATGAATTGAGCTGCAGATCTCCTGAGAAAAGGGAACAGGTATCTCCATCACCTTCTGATTGTTCTGCCAAATGCGGAGATGAACCAGTGCAATGGAGTCACAGTCTGAGTCTGACTGTACTGGAAGCCTTTTGGGGAGAGATAGCCTTATCCTTCTCAGAAATTGCAGGACCACGTTAATGTTACTTGGCAGAGTTAATGTTTATTTTAACTACATATGAACCTTGCATTCCCTTGCCATCTTGGCCAGTCTGGTTTTTCAAATGTAGGTTAGAAGAAAGGACACAAGTGCTGACACACATAAAAATCGAGCAGCCTGACTTCCTGAGTATTGTCGAGGCTCGAAAGAACCCTCAAAGCAGTCTGGCAGTCTTTTTTGGACTTTTTACAAGACAAAGTACTCTCCAAGCAGGTCGAAGTGAAGAAAATGAGGAGAGTCAGGGCATAGAGGACTGGCGTAGAATTTAGATCACAGCCGCATTGTAATGGCCCAGGAAATGGAGGGTAGCTTGAAGACATTTTAATGAATACACTCAATCTATAGACTAAGCTTTTCTTGAAATAGATAAAAGAAGGTGCATTATTTGAGTGTATATGCCATTTGTCTAATTGCTTCTTTGCATTGCATCTCTTGCAGTGAAGTGCTTTCAACACAACAGGAGAGCATACAGAAACTAAAAGGTTATTTTCAGAAGGAAGGGCAGAAGGTGTCTGGTTTGTGATAAAAAACATTTCAAAAGAAGCACACCTGTTTTTCTGTGCACCATAGGGCAAAAAAAATATAGAATTGATATGTTATAAAGCACTTTTTGCGGTGGTGGATGAAGTACACAAATCAAGTACTTGAGTAAAAGTAAAGATACCCTAATAAAATATTACTCCAGTAAAAGTATTAAGTACTCCTTTTCAGTTTTACTCGAGTAAAAGTACAAAAGTATTTAATTTTTAATGTACTTAAGTATTACAAGTAAAAAGTACTGATCGATGAATGTGCATTTCTTTTGTAATTTTATATACTTTTATATTTAATAATTTTATATTATATATTCCGTATAATTCTATTGCTCAAAATACCTGGGGGAGGGAGGCTTGGTGGGTGGTCTGACATCATTATGAATGATTATGAATAGTCAAGTAGCCAGCGCTAATAAGGTAGATTAGTGGGTGCAGATACATATATAATGTATAGTATTTAAAAAATGAGGAAAAACAAAATGTGTGTTGACAAACAATATAAAAATAAATGTCACATTAGGCGAAATGTAGGCTATAACATTTTAAGAATAACACTATATGCATACATACTAGTTTTATATCATTTGAAACTGCTATGGTAGAGGGTAAGACGCATAGGCATTAATTTGCATTATCTTAATGTTATGTTTTGTTTTTTTGTTTTTTTTCAGACAGTGATACACACGTGGACATGTCAGCATTCAAGCATTTCATGCAGTGGGGTTAAGCAGCTCTCTCATTTACGGAAGATTTAGTTCACAAACAACTAATAAATATGATTTTCTAAATATAGGTCTGAATATGATTTTCATTTAAAATAATCAATCCTAAAATGTGGCATTGGTAACTTACTTTTCACGCCATCAGTTGTGCGCACACTCAAGCTCCGAGAATATCCATTCTTGACTCATTCGGAGTCAGACTTGTGAATTCACTGGAGACTCACTCTGACTGGATCATTGAATCAGTGATCAGTTAGCAAATGAATCGATTTGTGAACCGATTTAACAGGTTCATTGAAAAGAATCAGCCTGTTCACAAATCGGACACTACTATCACTTTCTCCAGTTCAAAATAATGAGGAACAACATTTTTAGGAAATGTAATGGAGTAAAAAGTCCAATATTATGCTTTGGAATATAGTGAAGTAAAAGTAAAAGTTTCTCAAAATAAAAATACTCTGATAAAGCACAGATACTTGAAAAATTTACTTAAGTACACTAAGTAAAATTACTGTCCACCACTGCTTTTTTGTATCTGGAAACTGAATTATCATAGCAAGCAGAGATCTGTCTCCCTGAATTATTTTATTGCTGTTTATGGTTCAGTAATCAAGACAACCTCGCACTGACCCTTTTAGTAGTATGAAAAACAACATAAGCTCACTGACCCATCAAGCTCACCGTGTTGTGAATTCTTGTAAAGGTTGCCATTATAATCAATGTGTAACGTAAATAGTACAGTGAATCCCCTATTTACATTGTGTGTATGCCTTGTAGTGTTAAAGTGTGGTCACATTAGCAATGTTTTGGTGAAATTTTCCAGGAAAAAATGTCAATTGCATTGTCAGTAGTGTAGCAATGTATGAAGCACAGCTCAAGAAGTCACATTTACACCAAGCACCTTTATGTTTATTATTTATTCCATAGCTAATGGAAGTATAAAAAAATGCATCTGTGGATGAGACTGATGAGAAACCTCGCTTCGGACCGGTTGTTGTTCCTAATAAGAGATAGTACTCAACTCAAGTCAAGTCATTTTTATATATATATAGCGCTTTATACAATATAGATTGTGTCAAAGCAGCTTTACAGTGTTAAACAGGAATATAGTGTGTCAATAATTCAAACAAAATAAAATTCTGCTGTAGAGCAGCTCTAAAAAAAAAGGATAATAGTAAACAGTCATTTTTTTTCAGTTAAGGGCAGTTCATTGTTGATTCAGTGATGTTATCGTCCAGCTTAGTTCAGTTCTCATCCAATAGTGTCTATGCAATAAAGTCGACAATATATCCAAAAAAAATTATACTGTACAATAATTTAAATGCACACATTTATGAACACATCAAGAAAAAAAAACAAGCTACAAAATGATGGAATGGAAGTAGATTTAAATTAAATACTGTAATACTTTTTCATCATTTCACAATTTTGTATTGTGCAGCTCTAATACACTATCCATTTCAATAAAAAGTTGAATAAACAGAACGAAAGAATTGGCATAGGCAATCTTGGTGATTTAACCCTGAGCTCATTTTAAAACATCAGTAAAGGTCAACTTTAGACTGCCATTCTGACCTCTGTCAGCTGGGGTTAAAGGTCACCAGTAGGGATATGCTGGTATCAAATGTTCATGTTGCGATTAATTGCTAATGCTTTTATCACGGTATGCGGTATTATCACCAGTCTTATGGCTGTGTTGCATTACTTGTGATCTATAATGTGACCATAAAAACCTCTAGAAAACCTCCAGGCATATTTTTCCCTTATATGGAAGTGCTTAGAAATCGTTTTCTAAGTGAATATGTAGGCTTTTTTTTAATGGCTCTTGAATAGCTCCATTGTGCAATACAGCAAACTCCTCTATTCCATTTTTTGTCTCCATGAGAATAACAAAGAGCCTCTCATTCTGCAAATGACAATAAGAAATAGGTACAATTTTGCATTTTTTCCCCATCACTCAATTCCTGACAAGTGCAAGATTTTGGCATTTTTATTCATAGCCAAGCTATTTGTGATGTAAATGAGCATGTTTGTGTGTGTTTGCATCTGAGCTGGTATTTAGTTGAAAGGCTGAGAGACAGTTTAAAGAGAGTGAATAATAGCAGATACAGGCGGATGACAGACATGTTTTAGGTAGTGTTTATAACCTGGAGTAATGTGTTTTAATCTCTTCTGGGGAGGATCTTGCCACATATTTCAATTTTGAACTAAATTATGCAGAAATATATCCTTTAACATTTGGTATTTTAAGGTACTTCACTGATTATGTCAGTCAACTCATTGTGGCATTGTCGAGTGGTCTGTGGGTTTCTTTTGAGGTCAAGTGGTTTGTGAAAAAGGTTGCTTTTACGTCATCTAAAGAGCGTTTTTCTTCACGATACAAATCGTTGCAAAGCAACTTTACAGCAAATTAAGTTTCTACAATATTTAGTGGTAGCTTATCAGTGGTGACTGTCAGTTAATATACATATGGCAGAAATGTACGGAAAAATCAATTAAAGACGTAATCAATTAAAGACGTAATCAAACAGACGATGAACACTATTAACAGCAATTATTATATGATGCAATCAAACTTATAGCAAAATGTGGTAGTTCTGTATGTTGTTTCAGGGTTGGCATCATCTGAGGTCCTCTGAGGAGTTGGCATCATCTCTTCTCAGGTGTTCTGGATCCAGACTGAAGCTTGTGTCATATGAGAGAGAGAAACTGGAAGGAAAGAATGATTGGAGAGAGTGTGAGTGGGAATGTATTTGAGAAGTATAAACTGATGGTGTGAAGGAGAAAGGATAAAGAAGCATGGAGTACGAGAGGGGTTTAGGGCATGGAGAGCGGTGATAAGGAGACAGAGGATAGAGAGCAGAAAAGAACATGAAACGGGAGATGAAGAGTCCAAACAGGTGGTTGTGCTTCATATCCAGTGGTAGTTGAACTCCAAGAGCCGAACCTCATATCCCATCAGAGCCGAAGTGATTGACTTACATATATTTTAATGTATTCATCCTAGAGGATATGATATTTAATATATATATATATATATATATTTTTTTTTTTTTTTCTGGAATTGCAGCACATG